ATCTTAGGTCTTTGATTTTTTTTTTTACTTGTTTAATTATGTCGAAACTATTTCTTACGAGGAATAGATCTTGACGTGGTAGTTAGTTTGTTGTTAATGAGATGATAAGTAGTGAAAATGTAAAGATGTAGAGCTAAACAAAAATTTTATTTTTTCATTTCATTTTTTTTTTTTGCTGGCTTAATAACTCGATCCTGTTGATATATGTGTGCCAACTTAAGAGCTTGATCTTTATAGAATCTATTCAAAAATTACAAAAATCTAATTTGCACAAGTATGAAGCTTAAAGGCCTTGAGAGGCTTAAGAGTATGCTTCTTTCAAGTTGGTTTATGTTGCTATTATCGCTATTGCTTACCCTTACTTTCTTGTTTTTTCTCATTTTCTTTGACCTTCACCCTTGTAGCTTTATTTTCCACTTCCTCTAGCTTAGCAAAGCTCTTAGTCTGCTTCTTAATCCTTCTTTTCATTATCGTGACATAGCATTACTGCGTTGTGGACTAATCTCCCTTCACTTCTCTGACCCTGTGAGGTGTTGAAAATTTTATTTTCAAGTGGAGAGTGAAGCTTATAAGCCGTATAACAGATTGATTAGGTTGGTTATATTATATGCTGATGGAACATCTATGACCATAAACTCTATAATCGAGGTGGCCATATTTAGTTCTGTTTCTAAGAAGATCGAAAGCTTAATAGTCCCCTTGAACAACACTTGCTTATTACTAAATCTGATCAATGTAGCGATAATTGGATGTAGTTGGTCTTTCTTGATGCTCATCTTTTCATAGTGGTGTAGTACAGGACGTGAGTCAAACTTTTGTTATCAAACAAGATCCTTCTGACCATATAGTTGTATACTACAACTATAATTAATAAAACGTCATCATGGAGATGTTGGATTCCCTTAGGTCTTTCACACTGAAACATATCGATTTATCCTTTCAGTCTTTTTCTTTCTTAACGGACGAGCCAACTGTCATAACTAAACCCTAATCAAATTTTTTTTTACTAAAGAAGAGCTTCCCCTAGTGATTACATTGATGATGCCTACAATAGGTTGGTTATCCACAGCTCGACCTTTTTTTTTTGTTATTCTTCTAATTTTGGCTACACATGTTACCTTCTTTTTGGTGGTCTAAGTTTCTTGTTGCCCTTTCTCTCTGGTCCCCCCTTTCTGTAATCTGTTCTACCCTGACCTTGTCTAACTCGATACATAAATCTACTCAGCTGACCTCTCCTGATCAAACTTTTTATCTTTTTTTTTAGGTTGACATAATTTTTTGTATTGTGATTGATGTCTCTATGGAATGCACATCTCCTGGTTGAGTTCTCTTGGTGTTTTACCTTAGTACCTTTAGCCATCTAACCTCTCGATTCTTTTAATTTGCATTAAAATCTTCTTTCAAGAGTATTCAATGTAATGTAGTTCCTTTCTCTACTCAACTTCCTAGGCCTATATCCTCTCCCTCTTGGTGGAAAATCATAAAAATTCTAACTTTTTTTTATCGAAGAAAGGAGATAAGCCTTTCGCACCTTGAACATCGAGGAAGAAGGATGAGCCTCTTTCACTTTTATTATTTTTCATGGTAACTTCGACATTTATGTACTTTTCAGCCACAAGTAGGATGTCAGTTAGCATTTTTGGTTGCTTTAGAGATAAGGTGAGCTTAAGATGGTACTTTCTGTCACTGAGTCCATTTGTCATGGCAACTACAGCGATCGTTTGCTCTAGATCCTTTACTTGTAGAGCCTGCATTAAAATGCATGATGTAATCTTTTAAAGACTCATTTTTACCTTGATGAATTGATATCATGCTTAAAGTAGTTTTCTTAATTTTTTTACTACTAACAAAATGTAAAAAAAAAAAAGAATGGCTAAGCTCTTTGAACATTGTGATTGACCTCAACTTAAGGCTACAGTACTAAGGACTGAAATGCCCCTTTAAGAATTATGATCAATCCTTTACATATCAGTATTTTATTTGCACCTTGCATTATCATATTAGTTCTGTAAAATTTTAAATGATCAACAGAATCAAATGTACCATCGTATGTTTCCAAAGTTGGCTTCTTAAATCTCTTTAGGGGCATGGTTCTATCAATTTCTTTAATAAATGGTGAGGTCCCCAAGAATTTTAGTTTGTCCTCAAAGGCCATAGCTTTTCCTTTCATGGCCTGCATCCTGGCCTTCAAGTTTTTATTCGATTGGGGTTCTAGGTTGGTATATTTGATTTTTGGTTTGTGGCATGAGTTAGTTATAGCTAGGATAGTGGTAAATGGTCAGTGTGGTGTGTTCTTATTAACTGAAGGCCAAAGAGGCCTCAACTTCTTCATAGCCCATTGTCTTTTTATAGGTTATTGACCAAAGGTGACTAGATTAGGTACTTTTAAAGCTTGAAGTGGAGTTATAGTTTGTAACATTTGTTTGAGGGCTTGTATCTACTCTGTCAAAGCTTAGAATTGTTTCATGGTCGTACTAACCTTGTTGTAAGGTAAGTCAATCCATGTGCTAGCTGTTATGAGTTTTGGTTCCTATTGGGACAGCTATCTTTTCTTCCTCATTGCTCTTTCCTAGGCAGCATGGTTTCTAACTCGACTAATAAAGAGAAAGCCTCTTATTTAGGGCACCAAATGTTTGTGCCAAGCTCTAAGCTAAAAGGTCAAATCCTGAAATCACAGGAAAGAGAAGAAAATGGTTAAGGGCAAAGGTAAGTGGTTTCTCCTGTGTTTGCATAAAAGCAAAATGTGAGGGGTCTAGAGGCTGAAGAGGCCTCTACTTCTTCATAGCTCGATTGTTTTTCTACAGGTTATCGAGAAAGGGTGACTAGATTGAGTACTTTTGAAACTTAAGGTGGAGTTATTATTTATAACATTTGTTTGAGGGCTTGTATCTACTCTATCAAAGCTTGAAATTATTTCATGGTCAAACCAGCCTGTTATAAGGCAGCTCGATCCATGTGCTAGCTATTGTGGGTTTCGGTTTCAATTAGAACGGCTGTTTCTCCTTCCTCATTGGCTCTCTTCTTAGGCGGTACAATTTTTTTACTTGGCTAATGAAGAGAAATCCCCTATTTAGGGTGCCAAATGTTTGTGCTGAGCTTTAAGCTGAAAGGCCAAATCCTAAAATCATAGAAAAGAAAAGAAAAGTGATTAAAAGCAAAGGTAGATGGTGTCTCCTACATTTGCACTTCAACACTCAAGTCAAAGATCGGTACAAAAAAAGTCAGAAAGCAAATGCCCTTTAAACTTAAAATTGCCCCGAACAATAGGAATTTGCAAAGCTATCAAGTTTCCTACAACTTGTTAATCGAAACCTTTCATAGTAGCATTTTCATAGTGGCAGAAGGAAGTTGCTACTATTAATAATGCTGATGAAGTTTTCCAAAAAAGGTGATTATGCGAAACTGTTATGAACTTCAAACGAGTGGATCACTGACCAAGGTCCATAATTGCATTATTATTGCAAATAGAAAATGAAGCATGTTTCAATTTGCTTTGTTTGTAACTTTGTGTTTCTTTTCATGCTTAGCCTTTATTTTCTTAAAGGATAAGGAAAAGAAAACAGAGAAGGAAAACAAAATGAAAATGGTGGAATAAAAAGAAGATGATTATAGGCCTTCATAAAATGTAGTAATCAAAGTCACGCAAATCCTTGACTGTAAATAAATCAAGTTTCTTTGGAGTTGTTCAAACTTGATTCAATGGATATTCAAACTTAATTAATTTATTATTTAACTAAACTCAAGCTCGAACTACTTCAATAATTAATCAAACTAGGTTCAAATATTTTAATATCGATTCAAAAAAAAAAAAACCCTCATTGAGTTTTTTATTTTTAATATGTTTAATATGTATAAAAAGTAAATAACGAAATATAATGTTTAATGTTCGTATTTATAATTTTACTGAATTTATCTAACCGAACTCAAGTTACGTAAATAAATTACAAATCAAACTCAAGCATAACAAAATAAAGCTTAATCAATACCTATACATGCTTCCAATATTTAGTCTTCGAATTAAGCCAAACTTGAGCATGAGAATGAATCAATTGCAATTTGGTGGATTACATCCTAATTCTCCCCCCTCAGATAAAAGTTTATCATATAGAGTTCTAATACTCTTAACTAACATGGCCAAACAAAGCAATTGCAATTACAAAAAATTTCAGCAATTATGGAATTGCCATCCCTTAAAGCATTTAGATCATATTTGATATATAAAATTATAATAAGATAGGATAAGATAATATTATAAATTAAATTAAATTAAATTATATAATATTATTTTGTGTTTGATGTATACAAGAATTATGATAGGATTATTTATTTATTTGCCTAAAATTATCTTTTCTTAAAATTTATATAATTTAAATTATATTTTTAAAGATATAATTAAACATATAAGTTTAATCCTATGATTTAAAAATAATCTTCTCCACTTTGAGAGATTGAATAATCTTATATTAAGAGGATATTAATCTTCCTTGCAATCTTTATCTCTTTCTTTAAATATAAATCAAACATGATATAAGATAATTATCATTATATCCTATTAATAATCTTATGCATCAAACATGAGCTTAAGAAAAATATTTCTATGATATATCTTACTTATAAATACACTTGAAAATTTTAAATATAACATGAAAACGATACAAAAAAATCAAAACATAATTTAAAATTTCAACAAAAACCATATATGAATTTAGCAAAAATAAAAAATATATATTTTGTGTTTGATATATCAATGCAAATTATAACACGATAATTTTTATATTTATATGTATTTAATATAAAATAAATATAATACGAATATACAAATTTTCAAGTGTACTTAACTTGCATGTGACGAAAATTGGTATGAGATAGCAATATCAAAAACTCTTTCTTCCAAAATACCACGTAACGTATAGATAGAAAAAAAATAGTATAATCTAATATATCATCTATTCATATGCATATTTCTAGAAAGGCATCCATATTGTATTGTACATCAGGAATCAAAACCCTAACATTTTATACACTGTACAATAACTTTATACCGTGAGAATTGCAAAGTAAATAAGGATGGTAACATCCACTGCATAGAGATCAACAAGACAACAGAAGCATGTGCAAATTTTTAGCAACTTAGAGCAAAATTGCTTTATCTTTTTACACTCTTCTGAGCGCATGGAAGGGATTTTCGTGCACTTCGAGAAGATAAAAACTCTTCCTCTAGTTATAGGCAATAGCCTTTATGGTTAAATCCAGTTACCATATACATAGATGATAATTTTAGTGACCGTAAAATAAAAAACAACGCTAATAGAGACACAAAAAAAACAACAACACGGCTTCCTTCGGAGACAGAAAATGTACATTACTTCTTCAGAAGCTTCTGAGAGAAAATCCTCTTGGAATATGGGCTGTTGCGTGAAATTGCTCTATGGGACTCAATTGCCTCAACGAGTGAATTGTGCAGAGGTCCCTAACATAGAACAAAAGAATCAGAATACCAATAAAGAGACTAAAAGAAGTCAACAACAATAATAAATTTTCTGATATAAATATGCATCAATCTTAATTTAGTAATGTGCATGCGAAGAGGATTTTGAACCAAACAATTTGATCCTAAAGTGAGATCTTTAAGTTTGCCTTCTAGTGGGAGCGTAACTTTCAACCAGATCCATCACAGCAATCATTTTATGTGATTCCTAATGCTATCACCTTTATGGACAGGTACTCTCAACCATAAAACATGTGTGGTTCGTTTTGTAACCCATAACTCCCAGACTGAGGTATATAAAAGATACGATGAAAAATATGTATATTTTTTGAGCCACAGAAATGTTGATTGAGGGATTGGGGGTTTCATAAATAATAGAAAAGTAATTGATTCTTGAACCTCAGACACACGGAGAGCTGTTTGCACAACATAGTTTGCATGTGGATCTTGCAGCAACTGTTCAAAGGGAGTTGCAGAGAGCAATTCATGAATGATTCTTGATTGGTTCTCATCATTTAATACCACAAGACATTTTTCGACCACATGACTGCTGAACTTCTGTGATGAGAGGTGCACATAATTCCCTTCAAATTGAGAAATCAAAGTTGAAAGGGCAGATGGGATTTTTAACTCCAAGATAAACTGAACAACATAATTTCTGCAAAATGAAAAACAGAAATCTGCAGTGAAAAGAATGTGGAAAGAAAAAAGCATGAAAGGAAAGGTACCTATCACAAACTTGGGGCAGCACTCATTTCAATAATTTCCACAAAATACAAAGCTCTCACAATTACATATACTACTTTCCCTTCAAATGAACAAATCAGCAAGACTTCATTTTGCCACTTTTTTCTAATTTCCAGAGATAAAATATGGCGAGTTTTTTTTTTTTAAAGATATAATCTAGTAGAAAAACAAACTATTTGGGCACAGGTGACCTAAAAGGACAAATTTCTAGAGCTGTAGAAAGAAGTGGCTCATTAACACTAGGGATCTTCTGGCTTCCCAGCAAGATCATGTATATAAGAGGCCACATGTAAAGCAAACAACAACATGGAGCTTTCATGTAAGAATCGATAACAAGTCCTAAAGACCTGTCAACTCAACCTGATCAACATTAAGGACATACTGAGGACAAACAGTTGTTTTCCAACAACAATATGAGCACTAACCAATATGATGATTGCCAACAGTTATTCAGCATGCTTCATGCTTGAATTTTTAATAAAGTAATGAGAGTCCACAGACACAAAACAAGCCATTAATTAACTTTTTGATACAAAGCTTTGCCATCACCAAAGTCTAGTATCACAAAAGGGCCAAATAGAGAAGGCATAGTTATCGGAACCGGATCAAACCACTAGTCCAAACAGGTGAACAGGTAAACCGATGTTGAAACTGGTCCGATTCTATAATTAAACCAGTTTTACAATTAAATTGCTTTAAACTGTTGTGAATTGGCAGTTTATATAATAAATCAGTAAATCGGACCTTTTTTTTTTTAACCAAACTGGTTCAATAACAAATAATAAGTTTCGGTAAAATATGAAAAAAACCCTTCAAATATTCAAAATAATTTAATTAAACCCTTGTACTACTATTCATCTAAATAAGCCCTGCAAGTTCTTATTTTCTACTATCGATGCCCTTGCATCCTTATAGTAATGATATGTTGGCATATGTTAAGACACGTGGATAATGATATTGTAAAAAAACTTATACATATATAAAAATAAGTAATTTTGAAAAAAAAAAGATGATTTAACAAAAAATTTTATTAATTGATGCCATAATTAAAATTAATTATAGAATTAATAATATATAAAATTAATAAAAAAATAAAATGTTAATAAAAATGATTAATTATTTAATAATGATCGAAAATAATTAATAAAAGAAAATGTATATATGTAAAATTAATTAAAAAATCTACATGCATGTAAAAAATATAAAAAAGAATTTAATTTTTTTTTACTAATTTTCATATAAAATATTTCCTTTTTATTAATTTTATGTATAAATATTTCTTTTTTATTACATAAAGATTAATTATTATATTTTAATAAATATAAATAATAATCATTTATTACTTATTATTTATTATATTTATTAAAATATAAATATTATTTCTAACTACTAACATATAAAATATGATTTTAATAAAATGTTATGTCATTTCTAACTAGTAATTAATTGTCCTATGAATTTTATATGTTAAAATTTATAGTTTATGATATTGCTTAAAATTTATAGTTTTATGGTTGAATTATTAAATTATAACTTTAGTTAAAGGTTTAAATTTTGAATTTTTAAAATATTTATATTTTTTATAATATTTTTTATTGACCAATAATTGACCCATTGACTCAGTAGTTGAACCATTGAACCGATGACCCAAAACCTTGAATGGTTTAATGTCCGGTCCGATTCTGAAAACTATGAAAGAAGGTCAAATACCATCCAATATGCCAAGAAGATTTTCTGCTTACCACACCTTTTGCATTTCCAGCCAACTAGAAAGTTTGGCTGCTCGGCAAACCAGAAATTCTTAATGCATACACAACTATATATCAAGATTATTTAAGTTAAGTTTTTCTTTTTATTTTTCCTAGAAATATGCAAGCAGAGAACTAAGCCATTGGTATCAAAGTCATAGGCTTAAATCACATTTCCCCTAAAACAAAAGCCTTTTTTTTTAGTGATGATTGATAATTATAAACTAATATCATATTGATACTAACCCATATGCATCCTGCGAAAGTAGAAGCCCGTTGGTGGATATTTCTTCTACCAATTTTTCTTGATATTCCCCAGTTGAATGGCTAATGCATCGTTGCAAAACACAACAGCCATGTTGATGAGTTGCAATATCAACACAATACTTTGCAGCAGCAACAAAAATAAACTGTCCAAATGGTTGGAAAAAGGAAACTTGTCAATATCTGCTGCTAAGGAAAGTAATGACTCGAGAAAAAAGCTGAATAAACAAAATTCAATAAGAACACATGCAGCATTATCTTAACTTAATTTTAAACAAAATCACCAAGTTACACAAAATGCCACCCTAATAAATCACTTAGTATGTTATCAACTGCAATACCTGCAAAATAACAAATAATAGACAGAGCATTGTATATTGACTGCAAAAAATGTCGATAAACACTCCATTATTTTGCATCAAGTTTACATTACTTTTCACAGTTTCAAAGAAACTAGAGGCCATTGTAGGGCTGAATTAGTTTTTCTGCTCAATTGAACTTAAGACATCTAATCCTTTTCAAAAAGAAAAAAAAAAAAGCATACTCCGATATGATCAAGGACTCATCATGTTCAGACTACAGACACCAGTTGATGGTTAACCGAAGAATCCTACATCCACTGCAGCATACACATTTTCAATTATTCCAGAAGAACTAGGAAAAGTTACAATAATCCATGCGCATTCCAATCTAAAAGACTTATAAGAAATATAAGTTAATCAAGCTATATAAGTAAAGATTAAAAGTAGTTCTTTTTGGTTGTAAAGTTTCAATATGCCCACCACCATGAACAGCTCATATAACTTGCAGCTACGAAGCACACACAATGTGATGGGTTGCCTCTGAGAAGAAGCAAAAGGATGTTCTTAGTTTCTGTCAAGCTAAGGCTCAATCTGGTTGTGATTAAATGCTACCATGTACGACTTTTACTCATGTAGACCCCCAAAAAAGAAAACATACTCCGTAACTTATACAAGATGTAACACTTTATGCATTAATGAAAAAAACAGAATGGCACAGAAAAGAGTCCTGTTATTAACGCCCAGCAATCTAGAAGATGGAAGGCTTACCTTGTTATCTTCACTGCTAAGACATTGCAAGCAACGCTGTACAACATGATTCCCATTCAGGTCCTTGATGAGAGATAGAAACCCAGGCTCAAGGGCAGATATAACGAGTGAAATTTGCTGCCTTGTTTTGAGAGTCTCAATTAACTTTTGAACTACACGAGTGCTGAAAGAAGGAAAAACATTGTTAGAAATAGAACCAGCAGATATGAAAATATATAATGCAGTTTGTCTGACATACCCATGAGTGTTTAGAGATATTCTGACAAGCTGCCCTGGTTCCTCAGTAACCATTAACAGAATCTGCATTCTCTGTTCTTCATCACACACTTCCAATAACTTCTGCATGAGGTAATTCCCAAAAGGGTTCATCATAAGTTCAACTACATGATCACTGATCTCCTTAAATATTGTTTGCACATCCTGTTGGGTACCCTCATCAAATAGCCGCTGTAAGAACCTACATCCATGTTGATCTTTTGCTAGTAAGTATATGTATCCACGAGCTTCTGCCAAAGAGTCATACTTAGGTGGCAAAGAGAATGGGCTATATAACTTGGCATTATTAGCATTTCCACAAGCTGCTGCAATTTGAGACCAACCATCAAGCCGTGACCTTCTTTCTAGACGCTTACTCGCACCAATCTCCTGCGGAGAACCATTGTTCTGCCCCCTTGAACAATCAAGCCCATTATTGATCACATAATTTAAACCGTCTCCCTGAATAATGAAACTATCCTCATTAGTAAAAGCCTCAAGACCCCCATGTGGGATTCTGACATTTGAATGTGCTCTAGCCATCCCATTGGATAGTGGCAACCCATGATGTAACAGATTTTCAACACTTAAATGGGGGGTTGCTTGAATCAACCTCGGAGAACCATGAAAATTCAGCGCACCCCTTTCTTCATTCCAACTAGGACCATTTCGTTGTCCATAGATTAAAGCATCATTCACTGAAAGCTTACTCAAGGAAGTGCTTAAATTCAATACAGAATTTCGTCTCTGGAGATAATTAAATGCTTGCTCCTTTTTCTTCCAACAATTCATTCCCTGCGGAGAAATCAAAGCATCCGGGCAACCAGGATAAATTTGGGACCCTAATAAATTACTCATCCTATATTCCTGTCGGGACAATCCAGAAAACGCCATGTTCGTCCCACCATTAAAACTCAATGGAACACTCATTGGAACAGGGGACTGAATTCCCACAAAATCAGAAAACCCCTTCCTCTGTTTGTTACAAGCCCCATGCTTCTCAACATTGATTTGGTCATTACGTTGAATCCCATCGGATTCGAGTGAAAAATCTCTAAAACTAGAAGCAACATTCTCTTGATCGTTACTAATATACATTTTACTAAGATTTCCCCAAAGATCCAGTTCACCAATCAAGCCGTCACTACTAGCCTTTTTCCTAATAGCTGAATCCATGAGTAGTCCATTAGGCAAGTATGGCTTAAGGTCTTCTAGTGGAGGTGGGGTGGGTGATCCATTCTCAGATAAAGACTGCCCATTGTTAGAAAACAGACTTGAGGAAGAACCATCAGACTGTAAAGAGAAACCGCTTACAGGGGAAGCACATGTATGCCTATAGTAATAACTTGATGGGTCATAATCATAAAAAAGACCACACATGCCATGAAATGACCCATTTACATGATTGTTATCATGTTGTTGATGCAGATGATGATGAGGATGATGATGATTATCTGATGTTGCATGAGGGATCTCATCTAACAATATTTCTAGCTCCTCATCATCCTTCATGTTTGCTCTATTCTTCTTCTTCCCAATCTCAGCGGTTGCTTCCAAATCAAGAAAAACAAGACAAAAATTAAAAAAAAAAAGAAAAAAACACACACACACACACACAAACAACCAACCAAACAGAGACCAAAAAACAAAGCAACACAAGAAACAATCAAAATACCAACATCAGTTAGAAATTGAAAGAAATTTAAATAACAAATTCCCAGAAGAGATTACCACTTTTTATCATCTGGGTTTTGCTCAGATTTTGAAAAAAAAAAAAAAGGAAAAAAGGGTTGGTTTTCTTTGACTGAGGATGGAAACCAAACAGAAAAAAACAATCTTTTTTTCCAAATTGCATTTAATTGATATCAAAATAATTTCATTTTGGGTTTTGGGCTTTTTTTTTGTGAAGAGTTGGTTAAGCATGCAAAGATTGAAGGGATCAGTTACTTTAAAAACCGTAGAAACATATACATACACTCTCCCTTTGCACGCTCTCACGCCATTAAAGCTGGAAGAACAAACGCTATTTATATTTTGCTCCCACACCTTCAACAAATGAATATAATATCAACATATTAAATAAATAAATTGATAAAATTTTAATTTACAAAAAGTTTATAAAGAAACAAAGAACGAAGAGCAGAGTGACGCACAAGACATTAACACCCTGGGACTGACTGACTCTCTCTCTCGGCCTTCTTCTCAAGCTTTTTTACTTGCGAACCTTTTCACTACTTAAATAAGCAATAAATTATTTATCCTACACTCCTACTCATATGCGTGAAGTACACGCCCTACATAGAATGTGGGACAGACATTGGGACCCACCCCACTGTTGAGCTTCGCATTCGCAATTGAGCATTTGTCTCTTCCAAGAACGGGACTTTTGGACCCCACTCAATGAGGTGGCGCGTGGAGAAAGGGAATATCATTACTATTAATTAATTATTATACTACTAATTATTAATACTAATAAAATATTAAAAATGAATCAATTTAAAAAAATTTTAGTTTTATTTTTAATTATTAATTTTAATAAATACAAAGACTAGATTAAATTTTTTTATTTTTTTATGATTAAATTTTTTAAAATCAATGATTTAAAAAAAATTTTTTTTTTTTGTATAACTTGATGCTTACTCTAAAATATTTTACAAGTATGTAATTTATTAGTATTAATTAATTAATTAATTGGCTTTTGAATATTTTTATTTTTTAATTATCTTTCTGTTATCTTGGATTAATTTTTTCTTTTACTGAAAGGATTGCAACAACCATCTCATTTTTCTCCACTTTTTCTGATTAGTAGATTTTTATTCTTTTTGAAACAACTAAATTATCCTTTTTTTATTTAAATTATCTTTTTGTTGAAATTGAGTATTAATTTAATTGGTTCATTCAATTATTTAAAAATAATAATAATTAATAAATATAAATTTTTAATTTTAATATTTATAACATTTTTATTTCTAAATTTAAATTTTTTATAAAAAAAAATACCCTTTTGTTTGAAATAAAAATATACAACAACATCTCTCTATTCCTCTTTTTGAGGCTTTTAATTTCTTTTTCCTCCTTTTTTTTTTAAGTTTTTAGATTAGGCAGAATTTAATCAAAACATAACTATCCAATTGAAATGTTTTAATTCATTAATTGTAATTATTTAATCAAGGCTTTCTTGTATCCTTGTCTTTGACTATGTTCAAAACAAGAATTTTTAACTTTTTGTTTAATAGCATAAAATTGGGTAGAAAGCAACAAAATTAGGGAAGCTTTCATTTTCATGGAAACTTTCAAGATTTTAATGTCTTTAGGACTTTAGTCATTCAAACTTATTTCCAAGGATCAAATTGATAGCATCAACTTTTAATATTTGCATCTAAATTGAGAAACAAAACTTTCCTTATTAGTTGCACCAATACTAATGAAATTACTTATAGACAGACAAACTTTCATGATATTTTCCTTTGTTTAAAAGCCAATAAAAGTAACTTTCAGAATTTTCAATCTTATTTTGAATCTTTTGCTTAAATTATGATGTTATGCATGTTTTATAAATACTCTTTGACTTAAATTTTTTCTAGCAATTTTTTTTAATAAGTCGAGAAATGTAATTCAATCTTATTTTGAATGCACAAAATCTTTTGTGAATGTTGTTATGTATAGTTATTCAATTCCTATATTTTTTTTAGTTTTGGGGTTTTTTTTTCTTATAAAGTTCTAACTTGAAAATATACTTAATAATATGCATTATGTAAAGGAATCTAAATTTTTAATATGTTTCTCATGCTATTGCAAAAATTGAAAAGTGATGGTGACCTTATTTTAATTTAATTTAAATATTAAATGTAGTATTTGGTACCACCAATGAAAATTCAAGAAAGAAAGGAAAGGGACATGGAAGGCATTTTAACGTTTGTTAAGGGCAATAAAATGTTTTTCTTAAATAAAAATAAATAGAAAAGAAAAAGCACATACCCCTTTTACATTCCTTAGCGGGAAAGCGAGTAGACTTTTGGGCCCCACAGACCCAATTCGGTCAAACCTCCGTTAACTTCTATCCAATAAAATTAAGACAAGTGTCCACCATTTCCTGACGGGTATAAACCTGACTGCCATATTCTTGTGCGAAACTTCCTCGATTTTTGGGATCGGAAGCTGTGCTATTCCGCCGCTTCCGCCGGCTATTCCCGCGCGGAATCCCGGACCAGTATAATTTTTTATAACGTTCTGAAATTTAAAAAAATGTAATTATTAAATTTATTAGATGTTATTTTTAAATTATTATATGAATTAATTAAATTAAATTTTAAGATTAATATAACTTTAATTCTATGCTTGTAAATTTATTTTTGGTAAAAATTAGACTAAATAAAAAATATAAACTATTTTTCTTTTTAATTTTATTCTATAGTTTGACAATAAATTTTTTAAAATTTTAAAAATTAATATTAAAATATTATCACTTAATTATTTAATTACATTAAATTTTATTAATTTTTAAATATATTTAAAAATGAGAGGCGATATATTGTAACTTATTCGAAAGATGACTTTTCATTAGTTTATAGCTAAAATTGTTAACAGATACTATGTGCAAACACTTCTCAACAGCCAATCTCAAGTGTCTTTTTTTTTTTTTTTTAGTCCTTTATAGTCATGTTTCACTGTTTCCTTTAGAATTTTTTTTATATATAAAATAAGTTATAATTTGAAAATTAAAAAAAAATTAACTTTTGAAATTTAAAATTTAAATTTATTGAATAATATTTTCAAAACGTATCTATAAAAATCAGCAAAACTAAATTTTTATGTCAAAAATTATATAATTTATTAATAAAATGTTAAACTTTTAATTTTAATAACTAAAATTCAAATTTTGTTAATTTAAAAAATGTTAATTTTAGTTTCAAATTAATAGTATTGTTATAGTTATTGAATGAATCAATTCTATCTGCCTTTCTTCACCCAAAAAAGTACGGTGCCCTAGAAACATAGTCTAGTGTTGTCATAACCTGGTTGAACGAGAAAAACAATTTCGTAGAGAACCTAATAACCTTACTTAGTAAAAGAATTTTAGTTCAAAATTCCAATGGTACCCATCCAAAAATATGCAAATCAAGGATATGGGCTCCATCGAGCCCAAGAAAGGTTAACAATTACCGGAGAGATCGGTTTCAGGTCAATATTAAGTTTTCGTTCACCACACTTTCGATCATTTGAATTTAAACATCAATTTAAATAAAATTAAATAAGTATAAATTTTCATCATTTTTTTTAATTCAATTACAATAATTTTTTTAATTATAATTATAATAATTTTTATTATAATTATAATAATTTTTTTTTTTTAATTTTATTATAATTAATTTCACCGTAAATTCCAACGAACCCTAACTTGTCATTTTGTACAAGTGAGAAGGCAAAGGAAGCGAAGAGAGATGGAGAGGGGCCTTGGCAAACATGAATGAGATATAGCTTTAAATCTAGAATCTCTCCAAAAACTACTTCGTCAAGAATGCCGTTTTTGTTGAAGATACCTTTGCCGAAGCCTCTCTTACATCCGAACCATTAAGGTTACTTATTTTCTTTTTCCTTTAATAGAATTCGTTTTCATTGTTTGATCTAAACAAAATTAATTAAAGGCTAAGCAGGCACGCTTGAATTTTAATTTGATGCGCTTGCTGGATTAAGCCTGATCTGGGGTTTGTCTAGCGAGTGTAGGTTCTTGAACAAAGGGTGGAACCGCTGGGAAGAGAGGTAGATGCTGCAATTACAGCAGCTGTGCGTGCTCCTTCAGAGAAACGACAGGCTGAGGCGGCTCAAAAAGGCTGCTGAGTTGCGAGCTCAAGAGGTTACAAAAGAGCTCGAGAACACCACCAGTGTGAATGCCCAATCTCAGCTTTTGTTTCTTGTTTGACCCAGTTTTAGGCTATGGCCAAAGAAAGATTATGTTGATTTTTTTTTTTGTTGCATTCTTTGGTTGCTGAAGTATTTGAACTAAACATGGAAGAGTCGCGTGCAAAGCAAGAGGACTTATGCAAGCGTGATAAGGAAATTAATCTCCTTGAAGCTATCATTCAGACACTGGGTGGAAAAAAATTTACGCTCTACCAACGTCCAATGAAAAAACAAACATGTTCTCTGATGCATATCACATTTTTCATTTTTTTTTTTTTAGTAACCCAAATCCTTTTAAATGAAACATTGCCATGTAATTTTAGTAGGAAAATTACTTTTATAATGCTTTAATGGGATAAAGGGATGAAGTTTTTGTCACTTCTTTCTCTTTCTGCCATTGATGAATTTACTCTGCGTGAAACCTCACTTTTTCTTTACTTTCAGTTCCAGTTGTTTATTTGTTATTTTACGTAATTGACTAAGTTACATTCAAATCATCGAAGCCCAATGTAAAAACCATTAGACTGAAGAGAATTTGAAACAAAACTTACTTCAAATTCCAAAAAGACAGGTAAAATTATTCTCAGTTAAGTTTGAATAGTTAACGTTGGTCCCAAATTTCATGTTTTGTTGTACATGCTGACTTTCGTTTATCTTTCATTATTTTGTTCTTATTTCGACGTGACCAGGGAGAAAATCATGCTGAGGATAGGAAAGATAAGATTAGTGAACTACTGCAAGATGAAGTCCTGCTTTTCATTCTATCTCTCCTGAGAATTACAGCATTGGAATCATTTCATCCCAAGAAATTTGAACTTCGATGGTTCAAAGATAATGGACGACAAAGTATCCAAAGTTCTGTAGCATTAACAGGAACAAAGAAATTATAGCTTCAGGGACGCTCAATTTTGTGAATTGACAGCAGCCCGCCAGTGCCATGAATTGAAAATTCAGTTTGACCTGGGTGAAACTTTGAATTGGACTTCACCTACCGAGGCTGGGCTCGTGAACGGTGTTTTCCCTCCCCTACCACCCCCACACAATTGAATAATAACACCGTGAAGAGTTACAGTTACATTCAAGGACTCTTGGTTATCCAAGGTAAACGCTGAAGTTCTTGAACATCGAACTTTACTCTATAGCCTGTACAGCATCCTTGACTGGAACAGCAACTCTCAAACTCTCAATTTGTACTGGATGAAACATCCTGAACTTCATCATATGTGCCACTCCCTTCATTAAATGCATTCCTGTATCGGCAGAAGAGATGGACGGATAGGATGCTAAGCATTCATATGTTGCAACATTTA